ACCCCATCAGAATCCACCAACCGGAAAACACTCCTACAGATCAACAAACAGATCTGGAACTATTTATAGGTTTTTCTTTTTTTGGTTTGTTGTTGTTGTTTGGTTTTGCTCTATCTTGGTTTTGTGCTTACTATTGTTTCAGCATGTCTATCTGGATAAGATAGGCAGGATAAACAAGCTGTAGGAGAAAACAACGGGACTGACAGTTCCCAGGGGACATGGGAAAGGGGGAGGCAGGGACAAGGAAGAGGGGTGTTAACCAACCCAGGGACAAGGGAACAACAAGTGATCTAAAATTGATGGTGAGGAGGGTGTAGGATGCCTGATGGGGCTTAATCAAGGGCAATGTAGCCAAGAAGAATTACTGAAACCCAAATGAAGGCTGAAAATGATAGTGGGACAAGAGGAAAGTAAAAGGAACTAGAGGGAAGAACTATGAGGCAAAGGACCATTATAGACGTCTAAATACAGGCATGTACGTATGTAAATATATATAACGATAGGGAAATAGATCTATGTACATATATTTATATGTTAAGTATTAAGGTAGCAGATGGACATTAGGCCTCTACTCAACTACTCCCTCAATGCAGTAACACTTTGTTCAAACAACCCGGCATTCTGTGATGCTCACCTTCCCACATGATCACTGAAGACAAAATGGATGCATAAGCAAATGTGAAGAAAGCTGATGGTGCCAGCTATCAAAAGATATAGCATATGGGGCTTAAAGGCTTGCAGACAAACAAGCATCCATCTACCTGAGAAGCAACAAAGCTCACATGGAAGTAGCACACTAGCATATGTGATCATGAGGGGTTGATGGGATTAGGTAGCAGGCATCAAAGTTCCAGAACAGAAAATCATATCAATGTGAATAAGGGGGAGTGGGGAGTGGAGACTCAAAGCCTGTCTGTAGACAATTGGACATCTCCCTACAGAAAGGTCATAAGGAAGAGATGAGCCAGTCAGGGTCCAGTATAGCACTGATGAAACATAAAACTTTCCTCAAGTTCTTTAATGCTTCCTCCCCACACTGTCATAACCCCAATTCTTCCTTACAAATCCGGCTAGATCAGAGAATGTACACCGATACAGATAACAGCTGGAAACACAGGGAATCCAGGACAGATAAACCGCTCAGGACCAATAATGAGAGTAGCAATACCAGGAAGGGAAGGGGAAGGTGGAAGGATAAAGGGGAGAACTAATCACAATGATCTACATATAATCCCTTCCTAGGGGGATGGACACCAACTCCCTAGGTGAAGGGAGACAGTGAAAAAAAAATTACAAATAATCAAGGGTTCATGGGGGGGGGGTGGTAAATGAGCTGATGTCAAGGGCTCAAGTAGAATAAAAATGTTTTGAAAATGATGGCAACATATATACAAATGTGCTTGACACAATGGATGGATTGTGATAAGAGCTGTATGAACCCCCAATAAATTGATTTTTTTAAAAGAAAAGAAAATGCCATGGCTTGGGTCAGTTGCACCTTATCCTCAAAGTGACATCCTAGCGAGGCAGGTGTGGGAGGCCTGGTAGAGCATGATCAAGGGGAATGTAACAAAGAGGAAGTGCTGAAACCCTGGTGGGGACTGAGCATGATAGTGGGACAGGAGGAAAATCAAGGGAAATAGAGGAAAGA